ATTTGATAAGAATGATTTGCCGTAAATACTCACTTGTTTTTTATTTTGTTTGTTTTTTTCTTCTAAAATATGACGTCTCAAGTTCTTAAATTCACATTACGCCCAAATATTCACATAAAAGTCGTTTTCCTCTCAAGCGAAAAGTATTTGTTTGGAATTTCAGGACAAAGGCATTTTTCTTAGAGACACAAAAGTACAATTGCCACTTACCTGTTAATTCGCTCTTTGCTATGACTTACCTAACATTGGAAAGCAGAATGTTACACAATTTAGCTAAAAAGACCCTTATTAATTATCACTCCTAGGCTTAATCGTATACGTACAGTACAGTACCCACATACCCTCAGGTTCTTGGACGAATACGCAGCTCAGGGAATCACCTACTGGGGCCTAACAGCGCAAAACGAGCCAATCGATGGTTACGTGCCCGGCTTCTTCTTCAACTGCATGGGCTGGACGGCAGAGGAGCAGCGCAAGTGGGTGGCGGAGAACCTCGGGCCGACGCTGCTGCAACATGGCTATGAGGACGTCAAGCTCATGATTCTCGACGACCAGAGATACGAACTACCAGGCTGGGCTGAAAATGTACGGTATTTTCATTTGTAGTTGTTAGTGCATGTGGTGCGTTTGAAGTAGCACAAGTTTTTTGTTAATAAAGTCGAAATGTATTCAGAGCGTTGATGCGCAAAAAATATTAATCTATGATCCATAACATCTTTGATTAATACAAAACGTAAAGAATCAGTGTTATTCTCATCTTTGCGGTTGCAAAGATGAGAATAAGACTAACCGCCCGCATTAAAGGTTCTGAGCGACCCCGAGGCTGCCCAGTACGTGTCGGGCATCGGCGTGCACTGGTACGGCGACCTGTACACGGTGCCGGAGCGACTGACGCAGACGCACGACCTCTTCCCGGATTACTTCATCCTCGGCACCGAAGCCTGCGAGGGTTAGTAGCGACTGCCTTGCAGTAGGCTAAGGCCGCTACGTCATGTATATGCACACTCACTCACTCACTCACTCACTCACTCACTCACTCACTCACTGTGTGTGTGTGTATGTATATATATATATATATATATATATATATATATATATATATATATATATATATATATATATATATAATATCCGTGTGTTTCCATTTTCGTATTTACACACTGATACGTAAATTGGTAGACAGATACACATATATATTGGTATTAAGCAAAATGTCTACATTTTACATGATGCCGCCACTGACTGTGCTCCCCCTCCCCCCCAGGAGCCACCCCTCTTGAAGTGGACGTCGCCCTGGGCAAGTGGGAGCGCCTCGAGAGCTACGCCCACGACATCATCGTGGTGAGTTGTGCTTAAATACCCTTTCCATGCAGACGAAGGCATCCTCAACTCTATGAACAAAATTGTTTGAGGGTATTTTAGTTTTTGGCGATATTTAGGATTATTAACTTTTGTAATAACTAGCAAGAGTATAACATATTTTAGTAGTGATAACTTAGCATTTTACTTTCTAAAACCTTTTTCGTAATCAAAATAAACCAACCACTCCCTCTGTGTATGTACCGAACGAAGAATCCCTCTGAAAAAAATATGTTTATCTGCACTCAGGGCAACAGGGTACAGACCACTGGGCCAAAATAAAATATTCACATTTTCATTTAGTTATGTCCTTTATCTTCTGAGATTTTCTTCATAGTGAGCATAATTATTAGCCTACACTTGGAACTATCTCTGTGGCCTCGGAAGTGTTTATCTTCACGCAGGCCATGAGACACCTAGGAACCCCTGGGTCAAAGGAGATTCAAACTCATGCTAGGATTTTGTTTTCAGTGAATATAAATTTCAACTTGATGTATATATGGCTATTTTATTATCTTTTAATATATCCCAGTTTGAAGTGTAATACTTGGGTCAAGGACATTAAAACTTGCAATAAATCTTATTTTGTTTGAGAACATGAACTTTTGAACTTCAAATAGATATTTTTCGGAGTGTGAACCACAGGGTCCAAAGAAATTCAAAACTTCACCATGTTTTTCTGTTAAAACCGTTGTCAAAGGAAATTGAAAACAACATATATATGTTTCACTGTTGTTTCCAGGCATGAATTATTGGCCAAAAAAATAATAGTATTTTGAGAGACGTATCGATTGATCAGAAGAAATTTTTAAAACGCTCAGATTTTTATTTCTAAATGAACCACTGTATGAAAGAAGATCAAGCCTTTATTTCAATTAAAATCTTCAGTTTCGGCACGTGAAGACCAATGCTTGATCTAGACTGCAGTTATATATTTTTCTTTCTTTATTCCAGGACATGAATCACTGGGTCACGGGTTGGGTGGACTGGAATCTGGCGCTGGACATGCAAGGGGGTCCCAACTGGGCAGAGAATTTCGTCGACGCTCCCATCATTGTGAATAAGGTAAAGGGGGCGGGGGTTACATAGTATTTTGATACGTCTGTCTATCTATTTATCTATTTCTATGGCTGTGCGTGTTGAAGAATCACACTCTTATCTCACTGGTTGTCTGATGCCCACGAAGGAAGCAGACGAGTTCTACAAGAACCCGATGTTCTACGCGATGGGCCACTTCTCCAAGTTCGTGAAGGAGGGGGCGACGAAGCTGGGCCTCGCCTCCGAAGACCCGAAGAAGCTGGACGCCACCGCCTTCAGGAACCCCGACGGCTCCACAGCTGTCGTTATCCTCAACAGGTGATCAAATCGCTTAATTTCTGGATTACGTTTTGTACGGTATTGGATGTTTTTATTTTTTTTATTGTACCGTTAAAATATGTTCACTGTATGTTACACTGTACGCTGTGGTTGAGGTATGTTAGTGTGTGTATTGTTGCCATTTAATGTATTTGTATCACTCAGTATCTTAGATGAAGTGGCAAAATGTATATGTCTAATATTCAGTTGTGTAATTTCAAAGTATCTTCGTTGAGTTCTTACAAACAGCTTAATGTTTATACTAATTTCTTCAGTTAAATGGTAGTAATGCCGTTGACTGACATAATAGAATGAGGCTGATTTATTACATTTTTGTATATTCTTCTTTATCGCATATTCTCCATACTATATCACGATCATTAATTCATTTCTAACCTTTTCAAGAATTAGTATTGGTTTTTTATCTACCATATACTTAGTTTTCCTATGTATTTCCTTTCATAAGTATCTTTTAATCCCTTTTTATCATATATCTTAAACCTTTATTTTTTAACTTATGATGTTTATTGGCAACGTTTTGTATCATTATAAATATCTATTTTAATAATCATGTTTTTCTTCGTTAGTATATTCTATCACAGTGTTGTCCAAACATTTTCGCCTATTGTACCCTTTATTACTCTTGTACTGTGACGTACTCCGTGTATTTAGGATAATGAAATAATATAATAATTATGAAAAGACTGCATTGCAGGGTGTTAGTCAATAAATTCGAATTTAATACACGAATAAAAAATGTATATAACAAAAATGCTTGAAAAATACTTACACAACTTGAGGTGAGATGTGAGGCGTGTGTGTTCCTTGTCTGCGAACCCCAGTTTGGACAGCGCTGTTCTATCATATTCATCATTCTCTCTTACAGATCGGCAAACGACTTCGAAGTTGTTCTGGATGTGGAAGGTCGTGGATCACTGAGGCTGGAAGTGGCGCATAGGTCTCTCCATACGGCCTGTTTGTATAGGGATCACTGTGATAAGACTTGGCTTGATCGATTATGATTCATTGCGATTAATGTAAACCGAAGCAATAAATGAGAATGGTAAGAATTTAGTTGTCTTGGGTTGTGGTATTGTTTAGGCATATTTTACTTTCGTGTTTGCATGGACTCGGAGTAAAGATCACTGTGATAAACGTATACGAAAGGATAATATTAAACTTATGAGTTAAATTATTGCATATTTTGCACATCGAAATCATTCATTCTCATTTATATCCTCGTCCTGGCGGCACAACAAGCTTAATTTTGGTTGATACTGTTGATAATTTGACTATCGTAACCAATAGAGAATAATAAAAATGTATAGCATACTTGAACGCAGTTTTAATTCCTAAACATATGTCCAAGGTAAGACCAAAATATAAATTACGTATTAACACATTTTCTCGCAATTATCTGTTACTTTTTTAATCATAATTGTAATTTCAGATAATATGTACTGCATTATTCTTATGCGACATAACCAAACGGAATATTACTTTAATAATGACAAGTAATGGCACTCATTAATACAATCAATAATGGCATTAATTGTGATTATTATCCACTATTTAATTTATATTGTTCAACTTGTTGCTGCTATCGTTTTGTTTTGTTATTACTCTTACTACTTGTCATTATCATCGCGGTTGATAAAACATTCACTATTGATAAACTTCAAGGTACATACATCTGTTGAGAACATTGAGCACGCGCTGGTAAGAATCACTCTACATATTTTCATACCAATGGGATGAGATTTTTTATTCATTCTCATTTATACATTTTCTACTTTTGTCATAAAGAACACTATCCATACTTTGAGAAGTTGTTCCCATTTTTTTTTTTTTACCTATACCCATAAAATAAAATTTTGTTTTATCAAGCCAAGAAAAAAGAAAATGTATATATAGAAAACGGCATCATCAAAGATTTACCATAACAAAAATACCTATACTATAATTAAGTTATTGTTAGGATAATCAGTAAATGGCTATGGTAATCGGGTGGTTTAGCATACCAATTAGCAACCATGGTCACAGATGCCATGAATTCACCAATCCTGCTGTATTCATACCATCACCAGAGTCGTACCCTGCATCAGTGCGTAACAGTGCCTTGCAGAATAAAAGAAACCTTCACTAAAGAATGCAATATTTCATTTACTGTCAACCTCAGTGAACCACTTGGAAATGTATAATAAAACTCCCGGATGTCTTTTTCTCTCTACGGAACCCACCGAGTCGACAATGAAAAGCCATTTCCCAAGGTTCCTAAAATACTGTTGTGATGCTCCGAGTAGCCAACAGAAGTCCCCCTATAGCCGTGGTAATGTTTTACTGCAACAGCATATGGCAACATGCAACATTCGACTACTTTTATTGTAGATCTTGAACAAAATTAGTGTACAGAATATACTATCATACAGGATTGAGTCTTTGTTATTCACACCATATGGCTAAACGAGTATAGAATTCCAATTTTACATCACAGATAATGCAGAATATAGTGGTGCTTTAACTTACATAATTGTATTTTACACTACATAGGGAAATGCAATATATAAAAGGCTGACATGGCAATTCTGCATCGGTTTCCACAAATAACCTTTTTTCCTTTAATGGGCTGATATATAAATAACCCATCAACATATATTAGTTTCCACGATAGGTTGACCATTTATATGACCTCGATTAGGTCACACAAAGACGATGGTTTGCAGTGATCTGGGTCCCACACTGAGCCTTAGTGATCCACGATCTTCAGTCTCCAAAACTGTTTCCACAGTTTTTATAGATCTGTTGAAGAGGAAATAATTATTGAGTAAAATTGTGTTATAGCTGTATTTCACCAACTGCATTTTTGTTGATTATAACGCCAATAGAATGGCAAATTTCAGGTTAGTCCGTAATGTAATGCATATCTGCGTAAATAAAATCAAGTCTTAGTAAGCACACACAGTAGTAATAGAATATGAACTTCGTTTGTTCGGCTACTCCACTAATCCGGAAGCTTCGATGGTTCGGGACAATGATTTCAACACGCGATTAATAATCTTGAGGAACAAGATTAACACTGTCATAAAGAAGTGTAACAAGCTTGAGTTAGTTTTAAGTACACACAACAGTATTATCATAATTGTTACAACAAATTATATACAAAATGTTTCCTTGCTTATCCAAAACTTCAAAGGTTTGGAATATCCACGAGTTCGATGCTTGTCAAGTTTTCAAGCTTCCCAAATCAATAAGCTTGTATCCTTTGGTAAAGCCTGTGAAATTTCACTAGTGACATACATTACTGGTAAAGCATACAAATAAGCAGTATAGCCTCGAAAGACTCGAGAGAAAAAACTTCACATACTCTACAACCGCAAAAGCCTGAAATTTTCCAGCAGAGATACCCTCCCCGGAAACCATATGTACACCCTTGGTTCTATCTAAACATGCATGTAAAACTACTGGTCACCTGTTGAGGATAACGACAGCTGTGGAGCCGTCGGGGTTCCTGAAGGCGGTGGCGTCCAGCTTCTTCTGGTTTTCGGAGGCGAGGCCCAGCTTCGTCGCCCCCTCCTTCACGAACTTGGAGAAGTGGCCCATCGCGTAGAACATCGGGTTCTTGTAGAACTCGTCTGCTTCCTTCGTGGGCATCAGACAACCAGTGAGGTAAGAGTGTGGTTCTTCAACACGCACAACCATAGAAATAGATAAATAGATAGACAGACGCATCAAAATACTATGTAACCCCGCCTCCCTTACCTTATTCACAATGATGGGAGCGTCGACGAAATTCTCTGCCCAGTTGGGACCCCCTTGCATGTCCAGCGCCAGATTCCAGTCCATCCAACCCGTGACCCAGTGGTTCATGTCCTGGAACAAAAAAAAAAGGAAGAAAAAAAATTAAAAAGAAAAGAAAAACAAAAAATATATATATGATTATCAATTTCCTTTGCAGCAGAAGGTCATGTACTGGAACAAAAGAATGTTCCATTTTCTGAAAACAAAAAAAATAATTTCAGTTTCTCCTGCTGATTCATGCCCGACATTTTTTTAAATCTCATGTGACCGACTGAAGCTTGCCTAAACTGACAAAAATATTAAAATTCCCTGAGGTCGAGGAGATCATCCACGAGGCCCAGTGGCTGATGTCCCGACACAAATATAAGCGACTAACGAGTTTTAACTCTTCTTTGGCCCATCGGTTCATATCCTGCATTCATATACACACACTCACCAATCACAGAGAGACATTTCTTAACACCCTTTGCAGGTCACTCAGATAAAATCAAAATGAACTTACCTCAATTATGTAACGGGCGTAGCTCTCCAACCGCTCCCACTTGCCAAGGGCGACGTCCACCGCAAATGGAAAAGATCCTAAAGCAGATATATATATATATATATATATATATATATATATATATATATATATATATATATATATATATATATATATATATATATATATATATATATACAGCCAAACCTGTCTATATCGGTCTCTTAAGGGCCTGGCCAAATGTGACCACTATAGAGAAAAGGCTGATTGATAGACCACGAGCAGTAAGTGGCACATGCTTTAAGTACCCATTGAGATATCTTTATTCACATACACATGTAAAAAAATAAACATGTAAAAATAGGGAAGGTACATTTTTAGATTTACAGTTCAGTGGTTCTTTTGCTTTTGATATAGCACTGGAAAAAATAAATAAATAAATATCATAATGATTGACAATAAAACTGTGTGTGTGTGTGTGTGTGTGCGTGTGTTTGTATCCGAGGAGATTGCTTATCTCCTCTGATACATATAACCTGATTTTTTTATTCTCTGTTGCAGATACTGATGGTATGACAGTCTAAGAAAGCAACCCCTGCCATGGACTTGCGTCTGAAGCACAGGTACGACACTGAATTCCTCCACGCAGAGGTTGGACCAGCCTGGCGCCTGATGAACGTTCACGGGGCCGAGGCAGATAATCACAGCCCAGTTAAGAGATGGGGTCGTCGATTCCGGAGTGGCGACAGAGATGCAAGTGACAAATCGTGCTCCGGATGCCCTTGCACAGCCACCACTCCGGAAAATTAAGTGCGCCTCGATCGACTACTCCGCACTAATCGGCGGATAACGGTGGATGAAATGCGTGCAGAGTTGGATGAAAACATCGCTTCCAGTGCATTGACACCCACATTTAATTCACCGTCGACGCACAATTCATTTTCTGGAGTGGCGGCTGTGCACGGGCATCCGAACGCGATCTGTCACTTGCATCTCTGTCGCCACTCCGGAATCCATTGACAGGCGGTGAAGGCAGCAGATATGGAAACCATTGAGTCGCCGCTCCTGCTTGGCATAGGTTGTCCATGACACTGCCATATAAGAGAGTCGACAGGACGCAAGTTTGGTAAACACATAGCTTGGTCTTATCGGTTAACATATCGTTTTTCCACACTCACTTGAGTGCCCATGAGTGGCTGTTTTAGTGATCCCGGAGCTGATCTTGGCATCGAGCGAGCTTTGCTTAGCTCCTCTAGTGTGAACGTAGTGTCAGGCTCCTCCATGATTGGTAGGCCAGGCAAGGCGTTGAGGGCAGCATCTGACACAATGTTCTGGGTTGAGTACAGCTCTAGATATTGCTCGACCCAATGTTTTGATACCCTATTACATCCCCTTGGCGTGAACACAACTGGCAGCTAGCTGGATATTGGTGCATACCTTTTGCCAGTACTCATTGGCGCAGCGGTGGGTGGTCCACTGCCCTTGCTCCTAACTCTTTGAAGGGCGTTGTGTTTGCTATGACAAGGGTTCTACTTATAAGCCAGCAGCGCTTTCCTTTTGGTCAAGGTGACTGGTTGCATTTCGTCACAGTGTGACTGAAACCAGTCAGCATTCTTATGTTCCTTCTTCCCGATTGCAACCATGGCTGAGTCATTTATGGCATCATGCAGGTGAAACTATTTAGTGTTTGCGTCGTCAGTGTTGTCGGTACCCGAATGCACAGCAATTTTCCCCTGGAGGCTGTCGGCCTTGATCAGGTCGGAGGTGCTGCAGGTGTTGATGTGATGGCGACCCTTGGTCTTAGCGTGGTGGATCTTTTTGTGGTTCAGCCTGACCTTGCTGGCAATGAGCAAATGGTCTGTATCACAGTCTGCACTATGGAAACCTCATATGAAGGACACCACTCTCCTGGTGGTGACGAGGTCTAGCTAGTGCCAGTGGCGGGAACGGGGATGTCTCCAGAACTCATTCAGCAGCTCCTTACACTTAAAGTAGCTGTTGGTGATGCAGGGGCTATGGTGACAACAGAGTTTAAGCAACCTCTGTCCATTCTCGTTCATCCTGCCTATGCCGAAGTGGCCGAGGCAGGTAAGTCATACTTGCCGGTCGTTCCCAACGGGGGCTTTCAAGTCGCCTAGTAAGTATATACCTTCAAAGCAGGGGATTCTGGACACTGCATCTTCCAGAGCCTCATAGAATTGGTCTTTGGCTTCTGGTCTGAAGGTGTGTTGTGGCGTAGGCTGAGATAATGTTGACAATGCTCGACGCCGTCTTCATGCTGTGGCGATCAGGGAATTCCTCACGGCAAAACCTACACCGTGCTGCCTAGGCTCGTCTCTCGTCTCTCTCGATCTATTTCTCTATCTATATCTTTATCTCTTTCTCGATAGCTCTCTCTCTCTCTCTCTCGATCTATCTATCAATCTATATTCTTATCTCTCTCGATAGCTTCTCTCTCTCTCTCTCTCTCTCTCTCTCTCTCTCTCTCTCTCTCTCTCTCTCTCTCTCTCTCTCTCTCTCTCTCTCTCTCTCTCTCTCTCTTTATCTATCTATCTATATTTCTCTCTCTCTCTCTCTCTCTCTCCTCTCTCTCTCTCTCTCTCTCTCTCTCTCTCTCTCTCTCTCTCTCTCTCTCTCTCTCTCTCTCTCTCTCTCTCTCTCTCCCTCTCTCTCTCTCTCTCTCTCCCTCTCTCTCTCTCTCTCCCCCCCTCTCTCTCTCTCTCTCTCTCTCTCTCCTATCTATATCTTTATCTCTTTCTCGATAGCCTCTCTCTCTCTCTCTCTCTCTCTCTCTCTCTCTCTCTCTCTCTCTCTCTCTCTCTCTCTCTCTCTCTCTTCTCTCTCTCTCTCTCTCTCTCTCTCTCTTTCTCTCTTTCTCTTTCTCTTTCTCTATCACTCTTCACTTTCACTTTCTCTTTCTCTTTTCTTTCACTTCACTTTCACTTTCTCTTTCTCTTTCTCTTTCTCTTCTCTTTCTCTTTCTCTTCTCTCTCTCTTTCTCTTCTCTCTCTCTCTCTCTCTCTCTCTCTCTTCCTCCCTCCCCCTCTCCCCTCTCCCTCCCCTCCCTCTCCCCTCTCCCCTCTCTTCCCTTCCTCTCCCTCCCTCTCCCTCCCCCCTCTCTCTCCCTCCCTCTCCTCTCCCTCTCTCTCTCCCTCCCTCTCCTCTCCCTCTCCCTCTCTCTCCCTCCCTCTCCCTCTCTCTCTCCCTCTCCCCTCTCTCCTCTCCCTCTCCCTCCCTCTCCCTCTCTCTCTCCCCCTCCCTCTCCCTCTCCCTCCTCTCTCCCCTCTCCTCTCTCTCTCTTCTCCTCCCTCTCTCTCTCCCTCCCCTCTCCCCCCCTTCTCTCTCCTCCCTCTCCCTCTCCCTCTCTCCTCTCTCTCTCCTCTCTCCCTCCTCTCCTCTTCTCTCTCTCTCTCCCTCCCTCTCCCTCTCCCTCTCTCTCTCTCCCTCTCCCTCTCTCTCTCTCCCTCCCTCTCCTCTCCTCTCTCTTCTCTCCCTCCCTCTCTCCTCTCCTCCCTCTCCCTCCTCTCTCCCTCTCTCCCTCTCCTCTCCTCTCCCTCTCCCTCTCCCTCTCTCTCCCTCCCTCTCCCTCCCTCTCTCTCTCCCTCCCTCTTCCTCTCCCTCTCCCTCTTCCTCTCTCTCTCAAGTTTTAACACATTTATTTCCCAGAACAAATCAGTCTACTAACCCTCACAGGCCTCGGTGCCGAGGATGAAGACGTCGGGAAAGAGGTCGTGTGTCTGCGTCAGACGCTCTGGCCCGACGTACTGGTCCGTGTACCAGTGCACGGCGATCCCATCCACGTACTGGGCTGCCACGGGGTCGTTCAGAACCTGGAGGAATATTAATAGGACTGGTAACTGGCACTTGGTCGTTTATAGAATTGTAGGTGATTTTGATAAGGCAGGGAAGTTTACCACGATGTTCGTAAATTTGACTTAGGCCTACGTGTGGCTGTTGATGTATAAGTGAAAGATGTCAGTTGTTGTAATCATTCGGTAATCCCTCAACAAATCAGCGAGTAATTCGAATTAAATATGATTTAATAAAGAGTTTGGTTACACTGCATTCGCTACACAAGTGATCATATATATTCCGAGCACCATGAACACAAAATCAAATTTCCAGATCGTCTATCATATTGGGAAGGCATAAACAATCACCAATATATTTGTTTTACCTAAAAACTGATAAGAGAGAATACTCCGCATCTTCAGTCTGCAAAGGCTGAAGTACGTCGATGTGCCGTGAGCATGAAATTCTGATTTTTGATAGTTCTGCATTCATCCCTCCTATCAAACTAACCTTCATATAATCGTCGCATCAGAAACTTGCAGTGAAATTACATGCCTTTCCAGCCTTGTCTAACAACTAATGTGTTCGGTGAGCAGAATTCCAACGATTAAACACATCTTTTTTTGGAGCTCACCCTAGTCGTCCAGTATCACGAATTTAATAAATCTTTATACAAACTATACTTTCATTATATCCGTTATCTATGAAAATTACCAATCATACACAAAACTAATATTATGCATTTAAGCACACCCTAGCAACGGATATCCTATCGAGAATTGTAAGATAAATTCTAGATGATTAAACTTTCATGTCAATTATCAAACTAAACCCCAAAGTACCCGTCGCATATGAAAAATACTAATCTTACACAAGGCAGGATACTTGAGCCCACTCTGGCAATTGATACCGTCACATGTCAACATTTCTGATCCTGCACAGGAAGTACTATCCATTTTGAGCCCACTGAGAGTTCGTATCTGTCGAGTAGGCCTATAATTGAGTTCGCAATTCTGAATTCTAGGCAACTAAATCGTAAATGCATTAATCTCATTTCAAACTACGGTTACATCTGAGACAAAAGTGAAAACCCCATACATTTTAAGCCCACTTTGGCAACTGGTATCTCTGGTCAAGTGTCATGAGCAGAATCATATCTAAACACCACAATAAGAATACCATACACTCTCAGCCCACTCTGGTAACTGGTATCTCTGGTCGTCGAGAATCATGAGCTTGACGCCCTCATAGCCATGTTGCAGCAGCGTCGGCCCGAGGTTCTCCGCCACCCACTTGCGCTGCTCCTCTGCCGTCCAGCCCATGCAGTTGAAGCTGAAGTCTGGCAGATACCCGTCATATGGCTGGTTCTGCGTCGTCAGGCCCCAGTACGTGATTCCTTGGGCCGCGTATTCGTCCAGGAACCTGGTTGAATAGTCGGGGTTAACAAAACGTGTATGGATATTGTTCTCCGAAGATAAGAAGGCATGAGATATATTAACATAGCCTTGGGAATATAATGAAGATGCATGTTTGACAGATAATATCGAAAACTTGCAATTTCAATGTCATTTTGACAAAACGAACACAACAGATTTACTTGTATCTATCCAGTCGCTTGAAAAAAAATCTCTTAAGCATTGACAGACACCTCTATTCCTACGGAAGGTAAGCCCTCTTCCCCACCTGACGAAGTAGTCGGCCCAGGGCTGGTACATGTCGGTTCGCAGCTGGCCGTAGCCCACGTAGTCGTTGTTGGTCTTCATCCACTTGGGCGCCGTCCACGGCGACGCAAATAGCTTCAGCGGCCGCCCGGCCAGCGCCTCCGCCCGCTTGATCACCGGGATCTGGCCGGGAAGACATCTTAATCGACGAGAAAGCGATAATACATTTCAAATCTGAGATATACATATGCTCTCTTGGTTTCTGAAACGTGCCCAGGCTGGGTTGACCATTTTGGGAAAAGGGATGATTATGTCCTTTAAGATCTTGGAGAAATATACGCCTGGTTGGTCACTAGTTCAGGGAAGTTAGCTTTACTGCAAACTGGCAGCACAGAGATTACAACTTTAAAAGCTGATACGCTAAGTCCTGATCATATACCATTTAGTTTAATGAAATTAAGAAATAAAGAGATACTCTAACTGCAAAGAGTAAACAGCTAGCTACAGACAGCGCCAACGTGCGCCTGCGTCGTCAGCAGAGACACTCAGTAATGATTGTTTTGAATCGCAATTCAT